CAGGGTGCTGGAGGTGCAGTGTGGGTGGGGGAGCACCCCGGGGGGCACCCAGGTGGGTTGGGGGTGCAGGGGGGAGCACCCTGAGGGGTGGGAGGGACATGCAGGGAGCTCAGCTGAGCACCCTGGGGACCCCCAGCTGGGCCAGACGAGCACCCTGGGGTCTCCTTCCTGTTGGGCAGCTGAGCACCCCAAGGGGCAGGCTGGGACCCCGGGGGGGTTAGTTGGGCACCCTGGGGACACCCAGCTGGACTAGTTGAGCTCCTTGGGGACAACTGGGTGGGCCATCCCTGGGGACACCCAGCTGGGCTGGCCTTGAGGACACCAAGGGACACCTGGCTGGGCTACCTGTGTGAGCTGTGGGCAACTGTCTGAGCTGGTTGAGCAGCCTCAGAACACCCAGCGAGGTTAACCAAGCACCCTGGGGACACCTGGGGGGTTAACCAAGCACCCTGGGGACACCTGGGGGATTAACCAAGCACCCTGGGGACACTGAGCTAGGTTAGCTGAGCACCCTGGGGACACCTGAGTGGGTTAGTCAAGCACCTTGGGGACACCTGGCTGGGTTAACCAAGCACCCTGGGGACACCCGGGTGGGTTAACCAAGTACCCTGGGGACACTGAGCTAGGTTAGCCAAGCACCTTGGGAACACCTGGGTGGGTTAGTTGAGCACCTTCGGGACACTGAGCTAGGTTAGCTGAGCACCTGAGACACCCCTGAGTGGGTTAACCAAGCACCTTAGGGATACCCAGGTGGGTTAGTTGAGCACCTTCGGGACACTGAGCTAGGTTAGCCAAGCACCTTGGGAACACCTGGGTGGGTTAGTTGAGCACCTTGGGGACACTGAACCAGGTTAGCTGAGCACCTGAGACACCCCTGAGTGGGTTAACCAAGCACCTTGGGGATACCCAGGTGGGTTAGTTGAGCACCTGGGGGACCCACGGGTGGGTTGAGCACCTTGGAGACACCCGGGTGGGTTAGTTGAGCACCTTGGGGACCCCTGGGTGGGTTAGTTAAGCACCTGGGTGACACTGAACCAGGTTAGTTGAACACCTGGGTGGGTTAGTTGAGCACCTGAGGGACACTGAACCGGTTTAGTTGAGCACCTTGGGGACACCCAGGTGG